ATGACCCCGGGGGTAGGGTGGGGCCAAATTGCCGATAAAAGTTTTACATAGGAATATATAGGGAAACCTTTTAAAATCTTCTTTTCAAGTACTTCAGAGCCAGGCTTAGTGATATTTATAGGGAATCATCCTCAGGTAGTGTAGATACTATTTTGTTGATATCAGGACCCCCTGGGGGTTTAAAATTCAAGCCCCATTCCCCCACCCCCTCAGTAAACTTTCAGTTCTGATCTGATATATGCTTTCTCCTACCTAATGGCTCAGGTGAGAGATGTGGCCCCTTGGCCTTTTGTTTATAAATAAGAGCAGTTGCGGATAAGAGATGGATATCCAAAAGTGTAACAGACGGACTGACGGACATCCCGATCACTATATACCATCCCGCTTTTCAAGCGGAGGATATAATAATATATAATACTGCTGATTTTTTCTGTCAGTACGATGATTTCCACCATCGAAAAACAATGTTTATCTTACCCTTTAGGCTCGATAAATCTTTTACTCCTTTAGATTCTGAATCAGTGCATTGACCCTAAAATATAGCTTTAATTGTATAATGTTATGAGCTCAACATATCATCAATTTATTCCCAATTAGCTCAGATGAACATTTTGGCCAATATGCTTCTTTATCTAACTTTTTTTTGCCCCCTAAAAATTTCAGCTTTAATCCACAGGGAGTCATTTTTCTACGGGGGTCATTTTTCTTCACATGGGTTCTGCAAATTTTCAGGGAGGTGACACTTTTTGTACGGGCAAAAGGGTCATTCTTTGTCGTCGTTAATGAACGGGGGCCATTTTTCGCTGTCGTAAAATGACCCCCGATCATTATTCGATGGGGGTCATTATTCGTCTTTACACCGGCGAGTGAGGGAATTTTTGTGATGTTTTCTGTTTGAATACAAAGAAGATACATTTTTTGTATTTGCTTGATTTTTTAAACCTTGTTAAAAGTGAAATTAGCAAATTTTCAGATACATTAGGAAAAAATAGTTCTAGTCGTTCAAAAGTTGAAAATGTATTAGTTATTGATACTAAACAGCGTCAGTATGCCTGTTATAACATCAGTTCTTACCTTAAGGTTTTTATTTGGTAATGGGGATGTTGTCTCATAATTACAATTATTCTCCGAACATTTGCATCTCAGATTACAAAGTAGGCAATATAATGGGATAGGAAATATTTTCTAGGCAATTTGTACCAAATAATTCTGGATTACATTCTACATTAATTTTGAGTAGGTTAGATAAAAACCTTTTCACACTTTTTAAAGTAAAAAAATAATAGTTGAATGAACGATATATATATATATATATATATATATATATATATATATATATATATATATATATATATATATATATATATATATATATATATATATATATGACTGCAAATAATTAAATGAATATTCAATTGATATATAACTAGATTGACAGATATAGGTGATGTATACATGTATGTAGATGATGAATTGATAAAATGAAATAAATTTTACTCAAAGATTCATGCTACTATTGCAAGAAAGTAATATTATCAAATAATAAAAAACGGTAATTTCAATTCAGAAACTTGATACTGAAAAAAAATGTACATAGAGTGGACGTTGAAAATGATCTTTTACCAGCACATTCATGACTCTCTTTATTGTACCAGTAATTACTGCACCAGAGGTTTTAAAAAAAATGTGAAAAGGGGCACTCGATAAACAGTAAATTTATTGGCACTTTTGAATAAATGGGAAATTCTCTTCATGAAAAAATGTTTATACTAGAACACACCCTCTGCAAAGTTTCTTATTAGCTGCAGGTAGTTGACAAAAATTCCAATATAAACATATGTTTTTCCCTTTCAATGGTATTTAGGAAATGACATAGAACTCTTGTACTTCAATCTTTAAAAAACTCATTTAATGATTGCTTTGCTTGGTTTACAGTGCTAATAGGCTTTTCCATTTAAAGAAAAAAAAACAAATGAAGGTTTAACTTTAAAAACCCTAGTCAGATTGTTTTTACAGAAATTAATTAAGATACATGTATGCATCTGTTAAGCAATACTCCATACCATTTTGCTTACCCGAGCCTTTGGTAAAGCATCCTCCAACTATATGACTTAATTAAGTCCGCTGAACAATGACATGTTTGCTTGTAAAACTGTCCGAAATAGGGATAGGGACAGTCATCTGAGCAGTTATAACCACAGTATCCGTCTGGACATTCTACAGAATTTACTTCTCAATATTTGATCGTTCAGTACAATAACCCAAATCTTTCTTTTTAAAAGCAGAAAACTTTAAATTTAAATTTAAATTATTTGAATTATTTACACAAACTTACGTAAACATTGGCTAGTTTTTTGCTCGTACCAAAAACCACTGCAGCATATTTTCTGACCATTTTTGCTATATGTGAAAGAATAATTGCTGATGTTTTTCTTCGTTACTTAAAAATGTGAATGAAATGTTGTTTGTTTTTAAATCAAAAACATGTTACACATGTACCTTCCACAATCCTGACCCTGAATTTCCAACCTGGCAAGACGGATGGTTAATAAAAGAAGGAGCGTAAACTCCTTTTTCGGAGACATCAGTGACCGTACGTATTTTAATTTCTAACTATTAATGCATGTTTTTTTTTGGAGGGAAACTTTTTTTTTTACCTCATTCAGTTTTGTTTTCTGCAAAAAAAAGTATCCAAAATGTTTGCTCCTCTTGAAACATATCTTCATTTGATAACAAAAATAACTATCGAATCATGAACATACAAGTTTACAATAAATAGAATGTATGTAAAAATATCACAGTTTGCGTTCCGTCCACATAGGGAAGTATTAAATGTATATTTATATAATGATGCGGAATGGCGCTAAAATTCTATATTAAATCATTTATCCATCAAACAGCTGTAATGTAGAAATGTCTTATTTATGTATTGTACATGAATTACGTACATAACAAAAGTCAGACTTTTTAAAACTAAATTTCTTTTTTCCGTGTAAGCTTTTTCCCGCATAAGGTATTGCTGAAATAAAATGCTAAAATACCCCTCCCCAAATATAACCAGAAACAAAAAAAAAGGATGAATAATACTACAAGGTGGTGTTTTATTACGTATTTACATCTTTTGATACATGTTTCTAATCCAACTTTCGATATGATATAAGGAATACATAACGAATTAATAATGTATTAAATATGATGAGAAAAAATCTTGAACATAACATCCTCGAATTCAACCTTCTGGATTCCTTAATATAATGCGGGAACTACGAACACACTGTAATATTGAAGATGAAGTCTTGCTCTTTTCGGATAAATAATGAATAAATCTCCGTTCGGATGCGCTTTTTTTAACTATACCCAGTTTTTAAAAATGTCATATAAGGCTATATCAGAGAATCTGTGAATCCCGAAACAGAATAGTATATGTTGATCCAAATTCATATTCAGAGGGAGAGACAGGGCTTCCAGAAATAACCTTTGAAAATTGAAAATGAAGGTTTTACACATTTTACACACAAACATAGAGTGTGAACTTAGGACCTTGACCTTTGACTTTTTGACTTAAAAAATCAATAACTAAAGGATCTTCCGTTCAAAATGAGTTGTAAAAATTTCATTGTAAAAGCTCATAGCTTTCCGAAGTATTGCTTGAATAAGAATGTGTTAAACGCAGAAAAATTTGTGAACATATTACCTTTTGCCCTGAAAATCGAAACGGGTTTTCTTCAGTCCATGGGGAGTTGTTCTGTAAAATGTCATTGAAATAGCTCAAATACTTCTTGAGATATCTTGATGAAATGAAAGTGTAAGAGATATACAGAGAGACGACATGAAGGACGAACGGACAGACAGAAAGACCGAAAATTATACCTTCATTTTCAGTGAAAGCGAAAAACAGGGTTATAAAAATAAGGATACTTAATTACCAAGGAAAATTGAATTTGTTATAAATTGATTAACCTTAAGCAATTTCAAAAAGGTTTTAAAGTCGCCAGCATGAAGCCGGATCATCAAGCTATAACGTAAAGATCTAATTGGCAAGAAACTTATCGTACCCATTTCAACTTTACATTTATATGAATAAGTAAAAAAACATAAAAGATTTGTTTACTTTTTTAATTTTGACCCAAAGAAATGATACGAACAAAAATAGTTACTTTGAGAATTAAGATTGCAGTTATTGCAGAAAAACCCCCCAAAGAAAACAATTTCATTTGGATACATTTACCAGTACATGTAACAATATGTATTTTTAATAGTTTCATATTTCATTTCCTTTGTTGCTTTTCAATCATTACAGGTTCTTTTTATGGGTAAACAACTATTTTTTATTTTTTTTTTATATTCTAATTTTGAGTGAATTAATAAATACAATGCAAATTAACAAAAATCGATATTATTGTTTAACTTGGTAAATTACAACAAACACATGAATGTACAATAAACACCTACTTTAAATCAATGAAACAATCAACAGTTAAAAATTGAATAAAAAGAAATGCACATCTTCAGTATAACATTTGAAGTGTTCGTCCTGTGTTTCTAAATCGTGTTTTTATTCATATAACATATGCATAAATAATGAAGAATAAAGAACAGGTAAAACAAATTAAACACGACATTACTTTCAGGAAATTTAAAAGAAGCACAAAATATGCAAAAATATGTTTCGTTGATGTGTGAACAATTTATCTATAAAAACCTGTCGTCTCCCTGCCACAATATGAGAATTGGTTTTAAGATTTAGAATATATAGGGTTCACAGCAAGGTCAAGAAATAGGTAAATTTTCAAAATTTCTCATTTTTATGGAAATTTTCATCAATTTTACAGCACATTTTCTCTCGGAAACATAGAGCACACGCTTGCCTATCTACCAAATTTATATACATTACTTTATACACTAATATCAAATGCAGTTTATGTGTAAAAATCTCAGATAGGCAATGCTGTGCTTTATGTTTTCCGAAGAGAAAACCCAAATATAATAAAATTCCACCAGAATTGAAGAAATTCTGGAAAATGCCCTATTTCTGCACCCTCTAGTGGCTCCCTTGTAGGCTTTGAATCAACATTAGTGCTTGTTGTAAAGTAAGCATCATTTTTACTTCTTAACTACAAACTATCACAGTTTTACCAGTGTTCTGATTTTTACATCAAATAAGGGGCCAGATTCGGCTGTCACCATATCTTGTCCTTTCTGCTTTCACAGGATCAGCTACTCTGAAGCGCCTATGGCTTTCCTCGACGTTCTTCCAATAAGATTTTTACAGCTAAACCGTTTCTTTACAGAATATCCTCATCCGATCAAATACTGTCTGTGCTACTTTCAACATCTGGTAACATATTACGTAAATTAAAAAAAAAAATTAAGGAAGTCCAATAATTCTACGTACATCTTTGGGAGTCTATATATCCTGAATCCTTGGCTCAATTTAGATCATATGCTCATCGGTACGTTTTCCTGTACATTGAAGCAATTCGATCATTATGCAGATTATTACAAAAATCGTAATGCCCACAAAGACATATGCACCAACACGGAGATGGAAACGTTCATTGATTTTTGAATTGGTGGACTTTGTTTCTGAAAAACAAGAATGTTTGTTCATTATGTAGTTTGAGGGCTTCATTTTTCTGTATGGTTGATGAATTTCCAGTATTGCTTTTGCATGTTTATCAAAAATACAAGTGTACATACATTGTATTTTAAGCATATGTATTTTATTGTCTCGTAGAAATGAACTGAGTGTAGATGAATTAAAAATTGGACAAAGATATACTAGTACTTAATTAAATTCAAGATATCTACATTTCACGACTACTCACCACCATCTCTCATTTTTACAATATCTCAGTATAACATACATGTATTTACATCCTACCTGAAGAAAACCCATTTCATTTGAGGTTTATATGTGGGTTTTTTTCTGATAAAAAATAAAGCAATTTATTTTATTTTCTGTAAAACAATATGTGCACAATCCAGCTTATTGATAGCTGGAAAATTAATCAAAATAATAATCAAAAAAAAGTTACTTAGAATTAAATGTCTTCCGTGTATAATATGACCTCTATTGAAATTCCTAAATCCTTTATTTTTTTTTTCAACTTTTGTCGGAGTTGCATTGATTGCTCGACCAACACGTGTATGTTTTGCTACAAATGTTTGTCTTCTCTTTTGGAACAAAAGCAATGTCTGTATATTATTAGGAAGCATGTTAAATTAAAGACATGTTAATTTTCAACAATAAGATATTTAGATGTAGCATAAACAGCAAATATCGATTTCTTATGTACCTATAATTATACAAACAAAGATTATTATCATTAATTTTATTCATATTTGATGGATCGTGATATTGAATAATTTTTAGCATTTGCAGTGTTTTTTTTTTTTTATTCTTTTCACATTTATGCATGCAAAAAATATTATCCTACGAGATCAATGTTAACAAATTACTGAGTTCATTCTGACCGTTAGAATTGTCACTTGGTATAAGGCATCTTCCGGAATAGCTGTCATTTTCTTCAGAACAGTTGCAAATTTGTTTACACAATATTTTTACACCATACGTCTCCATGCAATCGGCTCTAGAATATCCTGGATTGCACTCTCCATCTGATAAAGTTAAACAAAACACCTTTCTACCGATAACGTTAAATAAGAGGGAACAAGTAGATTTCAAATTTACAAAAGACATGCAAATTCAAACTCTTTTTTTTAAGGTGGATATTCAGATATGTACATGAACTTTGTTATGAAAAATGATTTCTTGAAGTTACACGTGTGTTTTGAAGGTTGAAAAATGCAATAATACAATCGAATAATTAATCAAAATTCTAAGCGTAGGATTATGCAGCAGCAACAAAATATGAATTCATTTTTTGAATATCAATTTATAACCTTATGACTAGAACACATATGGTTTTATATGCTATTAGGAATCGAGAATGCATTTTATGAGTAGGTGTGCCTTATCAAAATATTATTTCAAGACGTATAATAACGCAGGGATAGCATCAAAGTTACAAAATATTGACAATAAGTGTATAGGTACTTGCATCTATAAGTGACTGCTTACCTGGGCTCTTTGGAAAACATCCGACCGTTTTGTGACAAGCGGCTGACAAGCAGTTACATACATGTTTGCAGAACTCTCCACAGTCTGGATATGAACGAACATCTGTCAAACTCTGACAGTAGCACCAGTCTAAATATTTTGATTTTTTTTTTCGTTTTAGTAATGAGCTCATTTGATTATTATGTTATTGTTTTCAATGTAAAAAAATCAATCTCTTAAAAGATCACCATTTACTTACCTAAACAATAACCATATCTATGCTCGTACCAAAAGACAGTGCAGGATATTTTCGGACCATTTTTACTATGAACAACAATCGATGCATATTATTTATAGAATTTCAAAATGTTGAATAAATACTCCCATCAAAATGATATCTTACCTTCCACCGTGACTCTGTCCTCCAATATCCCAAAGACAGATGAAAAATAGTATATGTCGGATATATTCCATTTTAGGAGAGATAAGACACCATGTTTCTAAGTTTTACCAAACAAGTGGAAAACCGTTTCTCATTGACATTTCGAACATTGGTACATGTATATTAAATTTAACTTCAAAGAATTTATTTAAAGGGTGTTCGACAAAAAAAAAAAAAAACAAAAAAAAAAAACAATAACTTCCTTTATTAAAATATTAATGTTCAATTCATGAACTGCCTTCATAAAATTTAGTTCAGTTCAAAACAACGAATTACAGTATTTGTATATAATGCAAAGGAAATTTCCAAAAAAGGAATATAGTCTGATCATTTCTCTTTTTTATCATCCAACAGGTGTAAGCACCAACTGCTGTATTTTTTTTATTAAAAAAAACTTCCTAAACATAAATTTGTCCTGGTGCACGATTTTAATATTATAAAGTTAACATGGTATTTTAAATCATATATAATCTGGTATCAAAAACCTTTTTTTTATCTGGTGTCCATTACGAGTACGTGATAATAAATATTGTTATTTCCATGTACACTTCCTCATTCATTTTGTGCATAGTCGTATATGATTCATGAGATTGACCCCCCCCCCCCCCCCTGTCACGATTCATGTTGACAAAAATAAAGATTTCCTACCTCTCAATGCTCTGGATATCAATAGAGCCCTTTACCTGTTTATTGTGACGTCTGTATAAGAGTAAAAATTCTCGAATGGGAATAAATCGCCTTACAATTTTTAAAAATCATTCAATTAATGGGGCAAGAATTGTTTGATACTTCGCACGTTTTGAACAGTTACTGGTTCTCTTCATTTTCTACACAAATTTCTTTAAAAACAAACTAAAGAAAATATTTGTATATTGTTAGATTCAATGCACAACAAATACAACCGGCAAGAAAAAAAGCAAGAATTTTTAAAATTCTCTCTTTTGAATCAGCCAAACTTCTTTTCTTTAAGTGTACTCCTAAATTAAATGAACTCAATATTATTTAAGGAATGAATCTGATTATTGGTCAAATTATCGAGTATAATCTGGTTTGGGTCGGTTTACGCTTTATAATCCGCATAGTCTTACTGGTAAGGTTTGTGAAAAAAAAAATATTATAAAAAGGTAAATAATAATGGCTTCCAATTGCAATTAAATTCAGTGGTAGAAAAAATCTTTTAAAAGCAATGTCTCAAAATCAGGCCCAACTACCAAAAATTTGTACCATACTCAGAATCATTTTGTTTCTTAAGTGTTGTTTACGTCCTCAAATAAAAAAAAATCACATCATCACCAACAAAGTTTGGTATGCACTCTATTGAGTATGAATTGATACATTATCTCTACTAAGTACAATATTCTTTTGATTTTTTTTTAAAGATACATATTCAAACATATATGTCAATGGATTTAAATCATATTGTAAAATAAAATAGAAAAAGATAATAATCTATCCCTTCTATTGTTGTACCCAACGCAGCTTGTTTGGAACACTTGTTTTGTTTTTTTTTCAAGCATTAGTATGATTTCATTAAATCATTAAAAATAGCTGAAACATAGATAGTTTTGTCTGTTTAGTACTTTTTGGACACTGGATTACTTACAAATCAGTAGTAAAATAACTGTTCCATTTCTTAAAAATTATTTTCAAAATAACATTTTTGTGCACGACTTTCTTAAATGTATTGTCCAATAACTGGAGTCAGTTACTATAATTCTTTTCAAGTCATCTCTTTAACCTTTTTTCTCGACATCTCGCGTATCTTTATTTACAAATTCAAATTCTCTCTTCCTTTCTTGCGATTTTCTGCATGGGTCACATTATATTTTAACACGGATGCTCTTCATTAAATTGAATTTCCTCATACGCTGGTGCATTTTCAGTACATATTTGTTGTTCAACGACACTTTGTCTTGTCCTTCGATGCAATTCAATCAAAAGGAAGAGCAGAACAGTAAACAAGAAGAATACCACCAAAGGCCAGCACACCTATGCGAAGGTTAAATCGTTTCCGGTTAAACTTGTTAAGATTCTCACTGCGAGACGTTGTACCTGCAAGAAGATAATTCCATACCTTTGGAGTTTATTTTTATGTTAGATAATTGCTATACTTTTGGTTTTAATTTTTAAATATAACAGGCATGTCTGATTCATACACGGTAGTTTGTGCAAAAAAAAAAAAAAAATCTGCAAATCAGCTGCACGTATACTTGTAAATCTTTGCTGAAATGCAGATTTTATTACTTTTGCAATAAAAATACTTTGGTGTTTTTAAACTATGAGCTGGAAAGTGTAAAATAATTTATACGTCGTATGTAAATGCTTAACCTTTCTTGAACAATTCAGTGATATTTTATTTGTTTTTTATTCATATTTGTGATGTCTTAGCTATAGTGTTTTGTAGACAACTTACGTCTTAATCACATGTTTTGAAAGTTCTCTGATTTTGCAATATTTATTACGAAATAAAAATAAAACAAATCCTACCGTACAATAAATTATTGAATGTAATGAATGTATTCATACAATAAAAAAATATTATATTCATTTGTTATGATACTGTTTTTCTAATTCTAACATTTTTGGTAAGGTTAAAATTCCCCGATTAACATGCAAGTTTGTAATAAAAATATTTACTCTAATAAAAAATTCAAATAACCGTTGTTTTAACCATCTTAAACTTCTTTGCAAAAATGGTAGCTTCTCTTTAATTTGGCCGCTTCTGAATTTGAAAGCTTTTCAAGGATTAATGATTTTGCATGTTTTTGTTAATTTATGATTTGAAAATCAATTTACTATTTCTAATTGCATTGACTATAATGACTATAAGGTTTATCTATAAATATTATCTGCTAATTTTGATACACATGTATAAATTATTTTCTACATCATATAACAAGGACATTAGTATATTGACTTTATTCTTACCATTAGTTTCAGTTTGTCGCATATTGCATCCTGTAGCGTAGTGACAGTTGTCTACAGAACAGTTGCATTTTTGAGCGCAAACTTCTCCGTATGTTGGATATGGACACACTCCGTACAGTTGGAACCAAAATATCCTTGGTTGCACTCTACATTAGAATTGAAAGCTTTTGAAACTCGCCATTGTAAATCAAATAAAGCAATACACGGTCGCATTTAACGCAGGATAGGTACAAAAAAGTGCATGTATTATACGTTTAAATATTTAAAAAAAGAAACATATTTCATGTTTTGAGTAAATTAAAGATATATGATTTATCCAATCAATTACCAACACATTCATTACTGTCAGTTTGATACCAGTAATTAGTGTAACACATTGAACCATTGTTTCTGTAGAAAATAAATATAAAAAAGAATAACCCTTCATAAAAAGAGCATTATAAGTACAGAATATAAGAACAAGAAATCTATTTATGAAATATTGTACAATAGAGTTTACCCAGTGTTGACTCTTCTTCTTGCTGAAAAGAATTGTTAAAAATATTTTAATGGTAGAAAATGTACTATCATTTGTGTACAAACAAGGTTTTCCTGATACATCGACGCCCCCCAAATGGCAGATTACAGTAAAGGGAATCCGCTCAAATTCAGCAAAGTAGACATCAGCAACTATTTGGCTTCGGGATAAGCTTTTGTAAAACCTCATAACCATCAGCACCAGCAAGCAAGAAATAGATCTTAAAATAAATTTAAAATCAGCATCATCCTACAAACATCTGAGTTTCAATGATTTTTTTTCTTTAATATATTGAGATTAAAAAGGATAAAAACAGGAAATAAAAACTTGCTGAATTGTTTAAATTATTACTATGAAGATAAATATAATTAGATTATAGATAAGGAACTTTAATTACTTGAAAAGGCAATACTGAAATTCAGTAAATCAATTCCGGTACGTGGCATGATGATACTTTCGTAATGCAGTCAAAATTGAAATAACGACCGCTATTGAAATAATTGTTTCAATAGTGGGTGAGAATGCATTTCAAACCAAACAAAGGTTGAACTACTATTGAAATAACGTTCACCAATGAAATAATTATTTTCTATGTAGTGGTCTTTATTTCAATAGAGGTTGCAAAACTTCCTATAGCATTGATCTAATTATACAATAGCATCAGGATAAGGATTACTGGCATTAAATCAATAATAAAAGGAAACATACAAATCAGCATAGATACTGTAACAATATTAGTTTTATTAATGTATGGCAGGGCTTTAAGTTTTTCTAAAGCAAGTTTACCTCCAATGTCAAGATCGAAAGGTTAAAATGTATGGTATCCAATTGAAGGCCTTGTCAGTAGGAATACATAGGTGTAATATGAGAGACCTAATTTTAACAGTTCCAAAGTTATTGTCAAGGGTTTAAGTTCTTTAAGTGTTAGTCAAACTCTGAGGTCAAGGTCAAACTTATTTATACCCATTGAAGTGTTTTACATATGCACTACAATGAATACACATCTTAAGTATGAAAGCCGTAGTACCAACGGTTTAAAATTTATGGTATTTTTTGTGAAAGTCGGTCAAAATCTTTAGTCAAGGTAAAGAGGTCGAATTCAGTGGTACCCATAGAAATTTCTTTTCATGAGAAATAAAACTATCATTTAAAAAATATATGGCTCCATCTACTCAAATGCTATCGATAATATTAGAGTTCTTGCGGACAAACAGAAAAAAAAGTAATTGGCTG